TATATATATAAGGACCATGTGTACTGATTTAAAGGCTAGAATGGCACACAATAAGGGTTTGTCCCTGCAAGCACTGAGTAAACTAAAGGCCTTTCCCTATGTCACCTGCAGCCTTTCAGGGCAGCATTTTAGCCCTTTTTGTCAAATCTTGTAAATGACATTACATTTTGAGAGCTTTTACGATCAGTGAGTGACCATTTTTGTGTTGACTAACTTGGACGGGCTGCAGTGGCCTTCTTGAATTGCGGTGACTCCTGAAGGAAATCAATAATGTAATATACAGTATATCTAGTTTTTGAAGGTTTCATYAAAATCTGTTCTCTGRTTCATGATGTGATATTTTGATAATGTTATGAATACACACTGTCAAAACCATTATTGCCTTTGAGTGATTTAAAAATATTAGAATCATTAATGACATGAATAAATCCAGTAAAAAAAACACACCAGGGTTACTTTAGTGAAAACAAGTTATTCATTTACACAGAGGTCACTGTGGTACATCTGCCTCCTGTGTTTATATAAGCAGGCTTAAACCGAGGATAAAAACTGAACTTTTTTTTCAGTCTTTTCAGTAAAACTTTTAGAGTCATACTAATTAAAACGACTTTGCCTCTTGTTCAGGAGTTATAATTGTGGTTTTGAAGAGTCAACATACCTCAACTGTTTCAGCATGAAAGAGAGCGACGAAGGGAACTGGTCCAACCCAGATTTTAAACAACGGCAAATCTCTGAACTCTTGTGTGAACTCCACAATTTGACGAAAGAACTCTGAAACGAGTCGAAAAGTAATGAATGAGAAAGAAAATGTGTTGCCTGCTCCTGTCTCTGTTGCAACGTAGGCACTTTCTTACCTCCTGCTTTGGGTTTGAACATCAATGCATCTCCAAGGAAGAGGTATGTGCCCTCCGGTCCTGGAACAGGTTTCATCGCAAACCATTTGTGCAGGTAACTGCTCAGCAACTGGTAGGTGATGTAAGTCAAAGCAGCAACAAATGTACTGACAAAAAGGAAACTATAACTTCCTACTACAACTGCCATGTTTCTTTTTACTTTCTCTGACACTTMGTCTGAGTCCTTGAAGGTGAACAGCAGTCACCTGCCCTCCTTCTGCTTCCCTGATATCAGCAGGATGGGACAAACACACTGGCTCTGCTGCTCCTCCCCTCAGCTGCAGAAGCACCAACAGCTCACTGACATCCAGAGCTGTTTGAGGTCAACATGAGTTAAACTGGAGTTCAGACTCATACAGGGCATAGATATGGATTAATGCAATAATGTGTATAAACATAGATCCATAATATGTCCTGGAT